AAAAACTTTTATAAAATGTTTTATAAAAATTATAATATTATAATATAAATCTAATATATTTTATTTATTTTATTTATTTTATTTATTTTATTTATTTTATTTATTTATTTAATTTATTTAATTTATTTAATCTATTTAATCTATTTAATCTATTTAATCTATTTAATCTATTTTATTTTAATAATTTAATTATTTATAATCTTTTTAATTATTTATTTATTTTTAATTTTATTAATAGCTCTTTAAGCTATATTTTATTTATAAATTTAAAAATAATCTAATTTAGAAGAAATAATAGAATAAAAATAATATATTTATTTTTAATATTTTAATTAATAATTAATATATAGTTTTTCTAGTATTTTATATAATATAATTAAAATATATAATTAAAATAAAATAATAATTATATATTTTTATATTAGAGTGGCTTTTGGTTGAAAAACAGGTTAAAAACCAAGCTTTTAAAATCTGTATTTGAATGGAGATGTTACTGTATATTAATGTTTTCAAAATGTAATTAAACTTAAATCTTATTTATATTTATATTTTACATCTTAAATACAGTCCAATACAATTAAATCGTATTTAATACATGACCAATCAGTTTCAGAGCATTTTAATTAGTTAACTTTTAACCGTTAGGTAATATAATGTATTGGTAGTGTATTAGGTAATAAAAGTATATATATAATATAAATTCTATAGTTAAAAATATAAATTACAATATATAAAATTATATAGAGATTTATATAGTATTTTATCTTTATACCTGTGTCTGTATTTTTTAACCGTTTTGCTTAAAACGGTTAACCGTCAGGTTAAAAAAATCCACTCTATTTTATATATATTTTTTATTATAAAAATAATAATTTTATAAAAAGCTGAATTTTATTAATATAACTAAAATTCTTTTATTATTTTTAATAAATAATAATAAAAAAAATATTAATTTTTTTAATTATATTTTTTTAATTTAAAAAACTTTTTTTATATATTTTAGATAATAATAAAAATAATTAGATTAATAATTATTTAATTTAAGTATATCTTAATTATACTAAAGCTTAAAAAAATATAATAAATAAATCTTAATATTAAAAATAATTAAAATAATTAATTATCTAATTTTTAGTTATATTATAATTAGATATAAAAAGTTTCTTAATCTAATTATAATCTGGCGATTAGATATAAAAATTCTAATTAATCTGATCTGATCTGGCTATTAGCCACTCTAATATATATTTGATGTCTGATGAAAAAATAAATATTATAATACTTGTGATTATATTATTTATTTATTTATTATTTATTACTTAATAAAGATTAATTGCAAAGATTAATAATTAAAATAAAAAATAATAAATGTAAATTATAATAATTTATTTAAAATATATATTTAATAATCCATAAAAAATATAAAGTTTTACTAAGGAAATAGTTAAATAAATCTATATAAATTTCTTAAGACATAGTAATATATAATTTTATATAGAATTTAATTTTTTTTAATTTTTTATTATTTAAGATCTTAATAGACTCTATTATAACTATTTTATTTTATTTACTTTTATAATTTTATAAAAAATATTTACTATTTTTATATTTAAAATAAAGTTTTTTTTAGAATTTTATTCTTAAAATTTACTATAAAATAATATTCTTCTAAGAAAAGCCATAAAAATTATAATCTAGATTTTAAGACTATTAATTTTAATTAATATAATTTTTTTAATTTATTTTATTTAGATTATTTTTTTTATTATAAATAAAGAATAATTTAAACAGTAAGAGTTTTATTTCAGAGTATTTATATAATAAATATTATAATTAATCTGAAGAAATTAATAATAAATATTATAATTAATCTGAAGAAATTAATTATAATAATTTTTTATATAAATCAGCTTTTTTTATTTCAATTATATTTTTAATAATTATTTAGTAAATAGCTATATTAAGTTTGATTTTTTTAATTATCTTATTAATTCATATTATTAATAATAAGAAGAGTCTTATTAAATTTTTTTAAAAACCTTTTTAAACTTTTTTTTTATTTTATTATTATAATTTATATAAGAGCTTTTTTTATATCTAAATCTTTAAATAATTAACTTATTAATTAAAGTAAATTGTTTTATTATATAATTTTATTCATCTCTTATTTAATTATAATTCAAAAAAATATATATTATTTAGTTTTTTTATAAAAATAATTATAAATATAATAGACCTTTTTTATTTTATTTATAAAGTATTTTTTATTAATTAAGATTTAAGAATTTTATATAAAATGTCTTATAAAAGAAAGAATATATCTTAAAATTCTTTTTAAAAAACAATTTAGAACTAAGAAAACAAGCTTGAAATTATATAATTAAATATTAAATAAAAAATATTAATATAAACTTTTACGTTAGATTTTTAGTTAAGTTTTTATTATCTAATATTCTTATTATTTTTAATTAAAATATATACTGCTTATATAAGTTCTCAAATAATATTTTAATTATTATAAATTATTAAATTAAAGAGATTTATTATTTTTATATATTAAATATTTCTTAATTCTTAAAAGATCTTCTCTTAATAATAATTAATTTCTAATATTTAGAGTGGCTAACGGCGAGGGTAGGTTAATAATAACACTAATAGTTAAAAAATTTAGATAATAATTAAAATATTTTATAAGAATTAAAATAAATATATAATTATTATTTAAATAATAAATATAATCTAAACTAGATAATTATATAATTAACTCCTAAATTATATAATATATAAATATTATTATAAAATATCTAATAATTAAAAATTATAATATAAAATAAGTCTAAAATTAATTAATTATATATTAAATATAGACTAGCTATATTAAATAATATTATAATATATAAAATGTAATTTATAAATAAATATTAGATATTTTTTTAAATCTGATTTTAAAACTTATATTTCATAATTATTTTAGATTTGAATATACTTTTTAAGAGATTGGTTTTTAATCTGTATTTTAATCATTAGCCACTCTATTAATAATAAAAAAATAATTAAATTATATTAATCTAATAATTAATTATTAATAAAAAAGAAATTAATAAAAAATAAGAATAATAATATTTAAGTTATATTTTTTATTTTTTAATATAGTATTATCTCTTATTTTATCTCTTATTTTAATATATCGCGCAGGTATTGTCAAGTATTTGGGATTTGGAGGATTTGTACAAGAAACCCATAACAAAAAGTATTCAAAAGTTAATAATAATATATTTAATAAATAATTAAAAGTTACATTACCTAATATAAGCGGGATCACATGATTTATAGTCATATGACTTTGAATCATATGTATATATACATGTATATTAATTAATGTTAATTTTAAAATATATGTTTTTTCTTAAATATGTGGTTGAAATTTTGGTTATACTGTTATATATTCATTTTTATATATCAATAATTAAATATATATATGATTTTTAAAATATAATCTATTTTACACAAATTTTCAATATATATATATAAGTGCTAAAATACATTTATAAAAAAGAATTTCATAGAGATACAAAAGATTTACAGTAGATATACCATTTGTGGAACCCCGCCAAGAACGGGTAGGTATTAATTACAATACATAGTACAGACCGCCTGCTAGAAACTTACCTAGGTTACGGTACTACTATCATGGTGTACCTACTCAGTACCTGGTAGTACCTGATAGTATTGGGTGTGTATCACTTTGTATCGATTTCCCTCAATGCCACATGCCATCATAATTGTACTATAACCTTTGTTCTGAACTTTCCAGTCCCGGTGACTCTTGCTTTGCCCTTATTTCGAGTAATGTCACTTTGATACCATGTCCACCATCCTTTTTATATCCCTGCAGCCAAAGATGCAATGAAGTGCATTCCGCCACTTGTCTCAGGAACATGATCATCTAGTAATTTCCCCCAATTTATGTTATTGAACCTTACCAGTGTAGATTTGTATAGCTGATGATCTCACATGCTCTAGGAATACAATATTTGCGCTTTTCTTTTTTCTTTTTTGCTAAAGAACCCTATCCATTACCAGAATTGTGTTATTATCTACAGTGGACAACATCTCATTTTTCATGTTTAATGCCGTCTGAGTTCCTCACACAGATCTAAAGCCCTTGGGTCACAAGATAATTTGTACCGAGCTTGATAATACAACCGTTGCAATGCCTGCCCAACGACCCCGTGCGGCCTTTGAGCCTCTTTCTCCAGACTTGGATATTGCATCACTTGTGGGGTCGACCCCAAACTTTGAGTTTGTTGCCAGAATCCACTGCGATTCCATCGATGAAAATGGGCTAGATATCTTCGAAAAGCTGGTGTTGCTCCATGTGGTTCGTGGCGGAAAGCCATTAGTTGTGGAAGGCTTTAACCACCGGCTGGACAAGTCCATTTTCTCCGAGAAGTGGCTGAAAAACCACTACTCGACGAAGAGTGAGCAATCCCCCACAATTTACGCTGGAAGTCTTCTTCACTAACGAGAGACCTCTAATAGCCGAAATTGCTCGAAACTTGACCACGAAGACGGACCTGCCCCTTACAATTGGACACTATCTGAAAAATATGCCGCTTCTTGCTAACCAGTGGAATGAATACAACTACAAGGATACTGGCCGGCAGAGAATTTATTTAAAAGATATTGACTGCCCGCCCAAGTGGTATGACCACTTGAAAAGGATAATTCCTCCAGGACTTTTTTACTTGAACATATCCGCGCAAGCCTTCGAAGGTCCAGGCTCAAATACGACACCGGCTCCTGGTAGACAAAATGACTCCTCCTGCCCAGTAGTCAGACCTGGCGATCTCATGGGCTGTCTCCCGGCCGATATGCGTGCGGAGAATCTGATGTGCTATATAGGTCATGAAGGCACTTACACACCAGCCCATCAAGAGATGTGCGCTAGCCTGGGTCAGAATATGATGGTAGAGGCGTCAGATGGTTCCATCGAGTATGGCAAAGAAACAAAGCCGGGATCCTCCATCTGGTTCATGACCGAAAGCAAAGACCGCAGAGTTGTATCCGAGTATTGGATTTCAATGCTAGGGCATGACATTGATATCGAGGATCACTTTGCTCAGGTGAATGCCTGGAAAGCGGCACCATTCAAGACTTACGTTGTCGAACAAAAACCAGGCGACTTTATTCTTGTACCCCCTTTGGCAGCACACCAGGTGTGGAACCGAGGGACCAGAACGGTAAAAGTGGCGTGGAACCGTACTACTCCGGAGACCTTAGAAAAGGCTCTAGGTGAAGCATTGCCGCACGCTAGAATGGTCTGTCGAGATGAGCAATATAAGAACAAAGCCATAGTCTTCTACTCGTTGGGGCACTATTCGGCTCTCCTGGGCAAGCTCGATGCAACTAACGTTGACCACATGACAATACAGCAGATTCTGAAGGACTTTGAACAGCTTTTTGGCCTATTTACTGATATTCTTCTCACTGAATGTCTCTCGAACGAACTTCGTGAAGAGGATGTTGAACACGTCCCTTTTGACAGTAATATCACATGCTCATACTGCCGGGGTAACATCTTTAACAGATTTTTAACCTGTCCATCTTGCGTGGGTCCATCAATTTCAGACGAAGAAGACACATATGATATTTGCATGGAGTGTTATGCTATGGGCAGGAGCTGCGCCTGCATATCAAAATTAAAGTGGGTTGAGCAATTCCATTGGTGTGAACTGCAACAAAAATACGAGACTTGGAGGCAGCAATTACTCGAGTTCAGGCCCCACGTTAAAGACACCTATCTGGACCTTCAAACGCAAAAAAGCCGGATGGTGAAGAGGACACTGGCGGAGATCTGCCAGTCAGAACTCCTGAGACGGCCCTGGGTCGATATCAGTAAGCCGATCGTTCAGACCGAACGGTTTGAAGAAAAGGAAAGTGATTCAGAGCGAATCAGTCCCGCCCGAAAACGGAAAAAAATTCGTCGGAGTGATACATTTGATCAGACTGGGCGCTGTCATATCTGCAGGTATCTGGAGCCAAAGTGGAAGCTCGCCTCTTGTTTCTGTTGCAAGTCAAACTACTGCTATGGTAGCCTGTTCAGGGCTTTCAACATAATGCCGCAAGACACTATGGAAATGCGTGAGTGGCAATGCCCCAAATGCCAAAAGATCTGCAGTTGTGCTGCCTGTCGCCGTGACCCCAAGATGAATCCATTCGAGCCCACATGCACGTTGCTTGGTCATGATACAAGGAAGATCGCCGACCCTCGCAGTGTGGAGAGTTTGGTGGACTTCCGGCAGTCCAACCTCCGATGGTTGAAGAAGGCTGGTGATGATGAGATAGGTCGACTCAAGAAACACCAGAGGGAGGCTGATGAGAAGCGTCACCAGTCATTAATCGAGCATAGTATCCGGTTAGAGCATGTCCCTCCTGCAACGGGCTATTCGGCTGAATATGGAGATATACCGGTTGATCCGGCTTTGGAAGGGCCAGATGGCTCCTCGTTCACCTTTCCCGACCCCGCTGGTCAGTGACGGCAGTGGGACCATCCAAATTGGTTAGGATCATCAAAAGTTCCGTGTTGGTTGTAGATGTGGAAATTGTCAGCTTCGGGCAAGCAGATACTTCCAGGACTGACGATGGGGATCACGCAGCAGCATCTCCATTCTACTGGGTGAAGAGCACAATGACACCGTACTACCAATTCAAGAATTAAAGGCCTCTGCCTGGTAATCATTTAGGGATCTAGTGTATACTGTAGAGGGACGTTGGCTAGACAAGCTCCACTCAATTAGCAGACGAGTGGCTATATTTTCACTGGCCTATGCTCCTTTGTACATGTAACGGAGATTCTCAAGCTCCTTGAGGTCAACTGAAAGCATGACCTTGCGTGCGATCAAGATAGCGACAAACATCGCTATGGCATGTGAGTATCCATCCTCTTTTGGGACAATGGTTATATTGCATCACATACCTCCTGGAATCAAATATCTGAATGATTGGACTTTGAGCCTTGTCTCTGCCATTGGATAGAAAGCATAGATCAGCGTCAGAAGCGTACAGACTATAGCATTCACAATCACAAGGCATGATTTGACACGGGCCCTATTATCTGATATCTTGCCCATGGGATCTGGGTGTTGGAGCGGGAGATGCTTCATGATATAGGCAGTAGCAAGTAATGATATGACGCTTATAAAAGACAAACACTGTTCATGCAGGCTCGAGAATCCCGACAGCATTGGAGGGATATATATGAAGCCAGAGAGAAGGGGGATGGCAGCAAAACGTATCTATATCATGTATCGTTTGATTCTCAGTCATGTGTGTGCTCTTTAACTCAACCATAGCAACATAGGAGATAGATAGTGTTACACTGTAATATGAGTTTCGTCTGTCATCTATCATTCTTAACTGATCTATCATTCGATCCTGCTCTGTGAGGCTCTTAGTAAAAGTATATACTCTCTCATTGTTTGGTTAATATGCAGACCTTCTTCGTCAAACTCCTCGCGGACATGCTCGTTGTCCTCGTCTGAATCATCAGGATAGCGGAATGCCTTTCGAAGACTTGTTGATGCCATGGCTGGGTTCTTCTGGCTACTGTGCGGGAGATATGAGGCCTCAAGTATAGTGACAGACCGAGTGTTGCCAGGGAACGGCAGTACCTTTTTCATTAGGCTTGAAGTAGTTTGTCCCGTTTGTCTCTGTCCGTTGTTCGCCTAGGACGGATCCCGAGGATTTATTGGCTGCGCCCGCTATTTACCACCGGAACTGATCCAAAAAGATACACAACACTCTGAGCATCTTTAGATGATTGGGAAACCTTGACCTTCAGCCGTCAAAGATGTTTCTGCAATTTGCAGAGAGGCGCATTGGCGCCCCGCGGCTGCCCATCAACCGTCGCAGATTGCCCCATCATCGGCGTAACCTGATCCCTGCCCCAAAATCCAACTCTGGCCCTTTGATGGAGCGACGGGCGGATAGGGAGCTACCTTCTATCACCGAAGAGCGTCGCTGGATACGGACCTTACCTATATTTGCCGTTGTTGTGGGTGCAGCCATGCTTGGTATATTTAACTACCAGAAGTCATCCTCAAGCGTGGTTAGCAGTACTCTGTATGCTCTCCGGACTTCCCCGCGGGCTCGGGAAATCCTGGGCGACGAGATTTATTTTGCTCAGAAAATTCCTTGGATCAGCGGCGAGATGAATCAGTTACATGGACGCATCGACATCTCGTTCTGGGTTAAGGGGACCAAAGGCCAGGGTAAAATGAAATTTCGCAGTATTCGGCCAGATCGGATCAGTTATGTTCGTCTTCTAGCCCTTGCGAATTGTCTCTCTTGTCCTAACTGTCCTGGGCTAATGTTCACTGCGTATAGTTTCGCACTGAAGAGTGGAGTTTGGAAATAGAGGATGGAACGGTTGTTCAGCTTCTTGACAGCGACAGTGATCCTTTCCGTCAAAGCAATTGATTAATGCCCAGTCCAATATTTCTCACTGCGTTTTCACTTGTCGCATGGTATTTGGACATTTGTACATGTAAATATATATCCATGTACAATGCAATCAAGGCGTTTGGGGTTTAGAAAGCTTGTCATGACTTTTTTACACCCCCTCATTTAATATTTTTATACTGTACTTTAGCTCCCAATGATTGACTGATAGGATCCTTGTATGCACATTTGTTTGGAATACCAGGAAAAGGATATCATTTATGTATCACATACAGACGCCGCTCTAAAATCAATACAATGTAATGGTACATTCCACAGAAGGAAGTAAGCATGCGGGGAAGAGCCCACACAGGTAGGTGATTATGAAGATGGCAGTGAAGAGAGTATGTCTTCAGGCCATGGCTTTTTGATGGCATCCTGTATCCTGACCACGCAGCCTTTGGGTCCGCTGACAGAGCCTAAAGAATGAAAAATACTAGCATTAGCATCCTCGGAACCGATGGCAAGATCACGGCAACTTCAGTTCTGGTGCATACCATTTACCACAACAATTCCATTTTCTGGATCCACTTTGAGAATCTTCAGATTCTGTACGGTATTCTGTTCGTTGCCCATGTTTCCCGCCATTTTTTTGCCGGGATAAACTCGAGAACCACCGCCCTGGCTGGGACCAGCAGAACCGAGCGAACGATGGGTCAAACTGACACCGTGACTGCGATCTTGGCCACCGAAGCCATGTCTCTTCATGACACCCGCAAACCCCTTGCCCTTGGAGTTGGACCGAGCATCAATATACTGGCCTTCCTGGAACCAGTCAGCGTTCACCATTTTCCCCACGGCCAAAAGACCGCTCTCATCCTTCACCCGGAATTCGTAGACGTGTCGTTTCGGTGAGATACCACTGGAGGTAAAGTGACCAAGCAACGATTTGGTCAGGTTTGCAGGCCGTCTCCATCCAGCACCTAGTTGAACAGCGTAGTATCCATGCTTCTGGACTGTCTTGTGCGAAACGACCTCGACCCGGTCCAACTGGAGAACTGTACAAGGGATACGCTTCCCAGTCTCTGTGTCATACATGGCAGTCATTCCCTTCTTGGTAGCTATTGCCCCGGTTCGAAGAGGCAGTGTGTTTGCTTTGCGTTCTAAGGCGGCGGTAGGGGTCGATTTCAACACGGGGAGACCATGGCCGACATTGTACCGGGAATTCACGGGCGGGTTCAACGACCGGATGCCAAAAGTACGGATCGGAGCCTGGCTGCGGATGATATGACGAGAGCCCCAGATCGAAGGGAGGGAATTCTGTGCGAGCTTCCCGGGCAGACGTGGTGTCATGGCGGGTGGCATTGATTGGGGTGCAGGAAGGCAGAAGCAATGAAGACCTTTCTGCCGCTGAGATTTTCGAAGACTTGCGGAGACGCCGTGAAGTGCAAGCACAGGAAAGCCTGAAGGCGGTGTGGGCGATAGGTCTTGTCTCCGGGGAGAGAAGCAGTCCTGCATGACCGTACTTTCATTATCTACCGTTTTGTTTTATGCACATGGTGTATACAGTCCTCTATAGTAGCGGTGATCCACGCCTTGACTCATTCCACATAGTTCTCCAGGGCGCCTAAATGCGAGCAGGTTTGGGAAACATAATGTGCTGCAGCTTACATGCCCCGATTCCAATCGGAAACCGGGCGCACCGGCACGCGGGTAGCCGACCGACTGTCCAAGAGTAAAAAAAAAAAGCGGAAATATCCTGCGAACTCTGTCTATCGTGAGTACTCGTGCCGCATTGATTCTGCCACCTAGCTCATCTGCGCATACCGAGAAATAGTACTCTGCCATTCTGTCTCATTTTACTGACTGGCGGAGTTTCCAAGGCACGCTCGATACGATCGAAAGCAACTTTTCTCGGCTTCGACAAGGCATACCCTGACAATGACAATGAATCTGCGGCATCGTTACATATCCCGTTGGCTCTTTGAGATGCCTAAATCAATTCAGCAAGTATCGCCATCACCGATGACGAGGCCGAACTTTGCAATCCATAGATCGCCGGCTGTTTCCTCATTCACTTTCCATCGTGCCTTTGGATTCTCAACGTCGCATACTCGTACCCTTCAAAGCCAATCCCTACACTCTGCAGCAATGCCCAAAGGGGATCGGTTTAGAAAGTCTACCATGTTCCGACGTTTCTTTGTTTCCTCCCGTCCGAACAGCACCGCGCATTCCGGACAGCAACCTGGTTCGCTCTCCCAGCGGCTACGAATGCTCTCAAAAGAGTACGGTTGGTCTGCGCTGTGGATTTACCTGCTCTTGTCGGCGATGGACTTCCCCTTCTGCTTTGCAGCTGTTCGCTTGCTCGGAGTAGAGCGAATTGGTCACTATGAGCATGTTATCTTAGAGTCGGCCAAGGCCGCAATAAACACCGTCTGGCCTAGCTCAGGGCATGTTGAACCAGGGTCTGGGGAGAGCAAGGATTCGGTTTCTCAGGAATATGAGACATCGGTGGATGCGTCTGAGCAACAGGCAGCTGGGGAAGAAGCCAGTAAGTTCCCAATTCTCCGATTTTATTCAAATTTCAAGAACGACCGGAATAGGTAACTGACCACTCCCTTCCCTCCATTCAGGCTTATGGACACAACTTGCCCTCGCCTATGCGATTCATAAGAGTTTCATTTTTGTGCGCGTGCCACTGACTGCGGCTATCACTCCAAAGGTTGTCAAGGTTCTGAGACAATGGGGTTGGGACATTGTCAGAGGCAAACCAAAGGGCTTGTAAATTCTGGTGGCGACTTGAGAATTGGACTATCAGGAAATATATGCCCCATCTTGTTTTGCATGGCGTTTAGACTTTATATTCATAGAGCGCTGTACACTGGTTCATACATAATTTTTAGGACAGATCGGTGGTCCTTCTCCACTCAGGATATTTGATCGGGTATTTGGGTTAAACATAGTTGCCGGAAAGAGCGAAGGAAACAGTGGTCATGGGGAAGAGCACCAAACGATATCAGTCTAGCATACCCAAAATCACCACATATAGAAATAGCGCAGGACACATAATGAAATGATGACATATATCGGGCTCTCCCGGGCATAGTACAGAAACAGACCAGCCCTTAATAAATAGGAAGACGAGCTTGTAGACAAGTAGAGACTGACACGGTTATAATATCCCGAAATTTCCCGACGCCCAAGAAAAATGGATATCGAAGAAATAAGAGCAATTGGGATATTGTAGGGAGAAGGAATCGGGAAGGAGTATCACATATGAATCATGTCGTTGAATTTCAGAATGCCATTGGCTTTCATGACACCGTTCACACCGTCTGGCATTCTATATGCCCATTCAGCCACGCCCATAGGATTCGTAGCCGGCATAGTATCCATTCGGTCAGGTTGATCGGCCTCATCCGAGGTATCTGCAACAAGCACAAGGCCAAGCTCCTTGATTGTCTCTACGAGTGCCGGGACAACATTCTATAGCACCCAAGAGAATCTCAATGTCAGAAAAAGTGTTTTCTCGACTGACAGTGCTTGGCTTGGAGAAGAGCCTAAAGGATAGGTAATACAACATACCAATAGACTAGAGCGGCATATCAAACCCATGAGATTGTTGCTCTGTGCTATCCGCGCCGACTCTTTTATAGACATGGAAACTCGTCCGCTACTATCAACGTCCGGTAATGAATTCACGTCGCGGGCCAAGTCTCGAATCTGGCCAAGATCATTGCAAAGGAGCACAGGGTCTTAAAAAGGGGGGGAGATGAACCAAGTTAGCATGTTCCCTTCCATGGATGGGTTTTACAAAACCAGGCATAGACTCACAGTTCGGTTGCTTCCAGTTCAAAGCAATGCAAATGTTAGAGTTATAAGAGGTAAAAACCACAGAACGCATGAAGTCAGGATTCTGATCACGCGCAATACGAGCATGGTCAAATACATCAGTAAGAACAGCATCCGCAAAAGTGTTGACATCTGCCAGGGAAGTCATATTCAATGATTGTTCCTCCGCGGCAGAGGGATAAAGAATTGATAAATTGATACTGACACTGAGCGGCAGATGATAAAACACCTCGCGCAGTGAGAGGAATGAAGAGGCCAGCATGCGATGGGCCTGGGCTAGGTCATCTACGGCACGTGTCTGTAAGAATCGCAGCATCTCCGAGTGATTTGTGCCCCTTTCGGCGCCGATCGCCCGGAACTGGGCATAAGTGAGATGGCAAATGGGTATCTCGATACCATGATGCTCAATGACGAATTGTGGGCAGAGAACAGGGATACGGTCTCTAGTGAGCTGAACAAAAAGTTGTACATGGTCTCCCGATAAGCTAGACCCTGTGACAAGGCCGTTGTGTTCAGGGTCAATAGCGCTCGTCGCCTTCCAATAGGTGGCAAAATGCGTGATCTCCAAAGGATCACCGTGGTACGGCTTAATAACTTGGAACCCAAATTGTAGCTGGCCGATCGAACGTAATCTAGGATCGAACAGCGGCAATGCACACGAGCCAGCGCTAGAATTCTCCGCTCGAAATACAGTTGGCAGGGCAACTGTCTTAGCGATCACTTTGGAGCCGAAAGTGGGAAAGATCTCAAAATCGACAGCGAACGATTCCAAATTGTCGACATGGAATGATATCATGCGCGAATCCTCTTGGATTGGAAGCATGATAGTGCGTGGAATCAAGTCAGAGAGTTTTGACGAGATGGTCAATCGTGCTGCAGGATGCCGGCCTGCCTGGTCGAAGGATATCGAACCAGAGATGCCCGAGTCGAACAGTATCTGGACAAAGACTTTCTTATCCAAGAAATTGTGTCCATACCGCCTCAGAGGTATTATTGGGGGTGGGAGAGATAGGTCAGGGATTCCATCGGCTGTCTCAGTATCAACGGGCCCTGTCATATCGTTGATGCGCAAGTCGACAGAATGGCTGGATTCATGTAGGCTAGAACCGTTCAGGAAGTCGAATGGCTTTTGCGCTTGTTGTGAATCCCCACGATTAGACCAAAGCAAAAGCATGCATTCCAAATGCCCTTCCCACGCCGCATAATACATTGCTGAGAGCCCCTTTTCGTCAACTGCACCGGAGTCGACGCCCAATTCCAGTAGAGTGCGCAAGCAACCAACACAGCCCTCACTTGCTGCATGAAAAAGCGGCGTCCATTGATATAACTTGTCCTTTTGATTCATATCAGCCCCATGTTGCTTGAGAAGAAGTAAGAGTTGTGGCGACTGCGAAGCACGCGCCACCATGTGCTGAGGATAAAGGCCTTCCGCATCTGGGAGCAATTGCGCATGTCGTTCTAGAAGCATTTTAACTATCGGCAGCGAACCATGTTGACAGGCCAGGTTCAGTGGTATATGATCGGATTCGGAGGCTGGATCAATACGAGCATTGTTGTAGAGAAGCTGCTCTGCACATGCCAATTGGTCTTTGACAATGCCGTGAATCAACGGAGTAAAATTATCATGATCCATCACATTAACGGTATGAGGACCCGCTGTCAGTAACTCTCGCACCATTTCTACACGGCCATGCATACAAGCGTAGTGTAAAGGAATCCGGCCGTAGACATCGGACCTAGAAATATCAACACCGGCTGCTAGGCCAGCTTTAAAAACAAACTCATGGCCAGAGATAGCCGCTTCATGCAGGCAATTGCGCTCGTTGATATCATCTTCGGCATAGATGTCAACCAAGCCACTTTCAAGAAGAATAGAGAGCACGTCATCGGAGAACTCGTTGATAGCGGCTAGGAATGTGCGGGTTGCGCGGACTTGAGCATCAGGAGACGACTGAAGTTTTGCAGTCCACTCACGTAAGGTTTGCAAATTTCCTGCAGTAGCGGACTGTAAAATCTGAAGGTCAAGATCTTCTTCATCCGTGCCGAAGGCCTGGATCGTGATGGTCCGGTCCACCGGACGCGTAGTATCAAAGTGAATGTTTTCACCCTCTGCCCAAGCTTCTAACTCTAACCTGGCTGTTGTTGCACGATCGGATAGGTCACGCAATACATCTCGGTTGAAACACGGTTGTACTTCAACAGCGCGGTGAAGGTATAGCTCTTTCATGCGAGACTAGAAGACGAAGAAGTAAATAACGGCATACTAACAGAATAGAATGGGCTGTAGATGCAAAAATGGACAGATGAATCCAACCTTTGAGGTTTTATCCCACTAATTCCTTCGTCAGTCATGTTAACCGAGAAGGCCAAGGGCTCTTATGCTTGTCTTCGACGAACCTTCTTGAGAATTTTCGACATTGCAGTCTCATTGATCTCGACGAATTGCTTCAAAGTAATGCGGAAGGATCAGAATTTCTCCCCAGTATTCTTTTTTAAGGCCGAGCTAACTCACTTGTAATTTATTGAGGTCACCATCGAACTGCTGGAAGCCTTCAAACAAGGCGACGAAGTTGGCCGGTGCTTTTGAACTAGCCACTGCTCGTGACTGGATAACCCTCTTCTTATCGACCAATGTTTTTAGTCGTAGTGAAAACTGCCATTCACAATCAGCTTTCCATGCAGATATGACCAGGCCTTGGGCAAGTAATAACCTCGGCTTCCTTTTGCAAATAGAACGCATTGACTTTTTCTATCTCGCGTTCCTATTTGTGCCACCAATGAGCTATCTATTCTGCAACGCACTCGGCATATTAACCTCACCAGTCGAAAGAAGAAAACCTCTTTATTTGCACGAAGGGTGGCTTGCGCTTCAGGAACATTTTGGGTGACACCGGTGGTGCTCTGAGCGGGAATTGTCGGTGTCGCACTGAGTTGCTTGATTAGCTGTCATGAACACGTTAGCTCTAGTGAAGGTCCGAGGGATAGTAGGAGTAAAAATTGCGGTATAAGGAGGGAGGGAAGTGCAAATGGGCACTGACTTTCTTGAGAGCTTTATAGTTGACAAAACTGGCAGCATATTCGGGAAGATCAAGCTGCCGACGCTGTATCTGTTTACCGAACTTCCTACAATGCTAGAATCAGGACCAATTGAGGCCAGCGGTATGCACAAATCGTTCACTTACATGGTGATAGGTCTTGAGTGAAAGTCCGAGATCTAACCAGTCCCCTGATGCGCTCCTGCTCCGCTCAGACAAGCCTTCGGTTCTTGCACAAGGATAGAGCTCCGACACGAATGGACTGAAGAGGGCCAATGCCAAGGGGGAAAGAGAGCAAAGGCGAAAACGTCCGCGCCTCTCTGAGCTCGACTGGCGGGATGAACAGGATGAGGCAATGCGAGATGGTGCCCCAACCGGAGGGAAGAGGACAAAAGAAAAGAGACCGGGGGGAGGGGGGGGGGTGGGAGGAGGAGGAAGATGAATAGGAAGATGAATAGGAAGATGAATAGGAAGATGAATAGGAAGAGGGAGAGGCAGAGGAAGAGAAATGAAGAGCTAGGAGAGGGGGGGGGGGGGATTGAAGGATACGCTGGAGTGGATTGAAGGCCGAAGAAAGACCAGTCGAAGAGAGAGACCAATGTCAGGGTGATGATCGCGCGGCCAGAGCCCCAACAGCGGTAGTGACCGTACCTAGGAGCCTAGTCGTACAGTAGGACCGACTCTACTCCGTACTCTCTAGAGCTATCTAGACTACCAGCGGGGAGTAGGTAAGTTGGGTTGACGTCCAGCCTCCAGTGAGCCTAGGTAGATAACTATGCCGCGTTCACCCAGGAGGGCAGACCAATGCGGGGCACCTGACCCCGGCGGGGCACAAATGGAGGGGAGGAAGGGGGTGGACTTAAGGATCAAGCAGAGGGAAGAAGCTCAGCCAAAGCCACCGTAAGGCTACCTAAATAGGTAGTTCTCAGCTTCAGCGCGAATGAGGGAGTCGGGAAGGACTCGTGTCGGGGCAAGCGAACGTCCATTTGCGTAGGAAAAAGGTCGACCAAGGGCGAGTGGGGAGCTCTGGATAGTTGCCTCCGAGCCAATCATGCGCCGGAATGTGCCCACGTTCCCTCTATCCCAGGACACCGTCTGCCCGATGGGGAGTGGAGTGTCTATCTACTTGGCAGTTTTCAAGAACTTACATACATACCTCTACGGAGTACCGAGTACGTACTCACGTACCAGGTACAATATACTACCTGGATAGAACAGTCATTTTCGGTTCCCCTGCTTGACGACGTGAATTACTCCCGGTTCAATTCACTGGACAATGAATGTCTAGTATGTGCTCTGGTTGGCCATGTGTATATACTTCGCATATGTACCCCGTAATCGCCTAAGGAAAGAGTCGACCGAATCTAACAAAGTAGATAAATACCTAACCACCGAAGACATACCTGGGTAGGCTCCAGCAGCAAATTTTAGAATGACGCCGGACCATTCCACCAACCCGTACCTACCTGAATCATTTTCCCAAATGGTTTCCCGGACACGACCGACCTAACCTTCTCTAATCTTGGGGGATGGAGTTCTGGTACCGTTGTAGGGTATGGCTTCGGGTCTTAGCTCTGGCCATAAGTGGAACAAGCAATGATTTTATGTGCTATCTTTATAATGTGAAAGGACATGTCACTCTCACAAGACATGCCGAATTATAGTATCTTCCACCTACCTGAATGTCCAACTAAGCGCTACACTATTTAAGTCATAGAATGAGTTGTCTTTCTTGTTCACTATATCAATGACAGGAGACACACTATTAGGAGCAAACAAAATAAAAACATAAAGCAAAGGGGATCAACACAGAGTACATATGTATTTAACAATCACGTTAACTTCAACATCAAACACCCAACGAAGTGATTGCATTCAAACATACAGGCAAGATGCGAACGCTGTAGTGTGAAACTGTGAACTACAATATACCTAAGTCCGAGCAGAAAAGTTTAATCCAAAAGAAGAAGCATGGATGTAAAGGACAATAAATAGGGGCAGGGCAAAGGAGGAAAGTCAGGAAAAAAGGGATATGGGGGGAGAAGAATAAGAAGGTAAAGAAGTCTCGGTGTGCCTTGCAGCAGGTTGAGCTTTTAAGAATCCTAGATATACAATCACGAGGCAGAGTACAAACAGGAATATATGCACATATCGGAATAACAAAGGCACCAGTCAATCACAATGGAGTAAGTTAAAAGAGAAGCAACACGGTAAATTGGAGGGAGGGGTTAAGGGGTACAAAAGAAATAAGAAGCGAGAGATCAAAGTTTCAAGTATTTGTGTATAAGTGTGAGCGATATTGCGCGATATAAAATATAACTGCGAGTTGCGTGCATCTCCATGGTCATACAGGAGTCACAAGAAGCAGCAGTAACAACAAGCAACAGAAGCACTTCAGTCCGGAAAGTTTCATCTCCAGATTTGCAGACAAATCAATAACAGTTATTTTGTATCTTATTTTGAACAAGAAAGTTGTACTATTCATCGTGCATGGCCGGTAAGGTAAACTGAACCATGGTTAAAAATTCTGCGCAATGCCAGCATTCCCTTGTCTGGGGAACACGGCAGGGCTCTCAATCCTTGTATTGCGCCGTGCTTGTACATCACGGATGACAGGCGGAGCGCCGCCATAAGGACTGTCACCATATGCGCCATATTGTGGCTGCATATCAGTATAGTATGGGTTGTCGTCATAGAAAGGGCCTGCAGGGTGAGTGGCAGACATGTGGCTCTCGTCAGATGCTTCCGATCGGTTAGCTGCAGAGTATGCCGACGACGCGTTCGAAGGACCACGGTGGATGTCAACATTTCGGTTGTTCGCCGCAGCCACCGGAGCAGCACCTAGAACCCCAATTGGTTCGGTCTCTTCCAGTGCACCCTGTCCTTCGGAATACTGGATAGTACCGTCGCTTGGAGTAGCAGCATGATGGTAGCCAGGTGCACTTCCAGCCTCGGACATTGCGAGACCAACTCCAGCACTACTTGACAGATTGGTAGATGCTTTACGTCCAGCCGATGTCGTCCCCCATCCTCGGTATCCGGAAGTGTCATCTTTCGGCTCAAAGGCACCACCACCCATGACTGGGGGTAGTGAAGGATCATTATTCGGGTTGAACCCATACTCCTCCACTTCTTTCCTCCGTTCTTCTTCCGCTGCTTTCTTCGCTTTCCATTTTCTCCAAAAGTACAGAGCAGCGAGTATAATTATGGCCACAGAGGCGACCGGTACAACAACGGCGACTGCAATGGTGCCGCCAGCCGAAAGCCCAGAGCTACCGCTTCCGCTAGAACCAGGAGATGATGTTTCTGATGATCTGCTGGCTGTAGTAGAAAGTCCATCGGCCGCGGTTGCAGCTGTATGATTCGGGACTGACGTATCGGTGGACGTTATGGTCAGTGTCTCGACCCCGGTAGCTCCATCAGTTGGTGTCTGCGTAACGACCGTAGTGACAACATCGGGACTCGCAGTTGTGAAAGAAGTAGTGGAAGAGGTAGTAGAAGGGGCCTGGGTAGTAAGTGGAGATGTGCTCGATGTACTACTTGTCGTGGTTGGCTCTGTGGGTATCGTTAGAGAAGACGTGGATTCCGATGTAGAGGATGTCGATGAAGATGTCGTTTCGGACGTCGTAGATTCAGAGGTAGATAGGGAAGTTGTCGAGTGGGACGTCGGCGCACTCTCGACTGATGTTTGGGATGTAGTTTCTGCACGTGTCTCAGCAGGTGTAGCGGCATCAGCGGTACTTGCCGATGTTGTTGCCGCCGCCGCCGCCGCTGCAATTTTTGTATGTTAGTATCGCAAACCTGTGATCAAAGACCGAGCGCTTTGAAAAAAGAAGTGCTGTGGGCAGGAAATACTATACCAGAAGATGACATTTTTCTACACAGGTCAAATAGAATTTCAACCAACTGTGTAAAATGCCGAGGGGTATTTGGGTGAGCCGCTTGGTTGCTAGATTGGAGACAAGGATCCAGCTAGTGTACAGATTGTGAGTCTCTCCCAGGAGCAGTGCGTATGCAGCTGCGAGCTAGCTGAATTTCGTGGTTGTAAAAAGAGAAATCACTGTCGAACTTTGGTACGAAAATCCGAGGGTAATCAAGCGCGAAAAGATAATGATAGTAGTAAAAGAATGGATGTTGGAAGAGAGGCGAGTAAGCAGTCGCGCATTCAACAATAATCAAAAGACTAGTCTTTTAAGATAGGAGGCCGGCGTGTGGATAATGATGAAGCTGACAATGGTCTGCCTAGCTGACGGTCAGGGGACGCGGTCAATAAGATCACAAAGGAGAAAACGATCATAGGCCAACTTACTAGGATTAAACCGGATGCCATGAGACAGTAGAGATGCCTCTCATATTAAATAAAGAGGACAGGCGGCACTTGTCGAAAACATGGGAGGAAAAGAACAATCCAAAGAGGGAATAAAAGAGAAAAGAGCGAGTGGATGATGGTGAACAATTGTAACGACCGGGCGACCGGGCGGAGAGATGGGCGAATTGCGCTCAGGCAAGCCTTCGCCGCAACCGGCTTGTGAGGTGGTAAGGTACCGATGACTTAGAGTTTCTTATTACCACGTATTACCTAATTACAGCATTGTACACACACAGTACTCCGTACCTGGTAGTACTACACCTAGCTACGGAGTACCCACAGTAACATCCAGGTACGGATCTCACATTGGAGACTCAACTGCCACTAGCAGTGATACAGTAGATAGGAAAGTACTCCGTAGTATGTTTCCCGCACTTTATAACCTTCCCTCCTTAAAAACTTGGCAGCTACTACTAGGTAGTGTTGATTCCGGAGTCGGCATATGACTACCAGTAGGGTATACGTAGTAAAATTATGCAAATGAAGGTGCTTGTATTGGTAGTAGTTGATGATCAGGTTGGTGTTCTAGCCACATGATGGGGATGGGAAATACAGGTGTCCAAGGTGTTGACCGGCAGGAGCGCCCGAAGGCCCAAACAGGCAACTACCGGCTGACCGCCCGACAGTAGGCACTACCTAGATACAGTGATAATCTGTACCGAGCAGGTATGGTTATATACCTAGAAGGTAGCATTGACCCAGGAAACAGATGCGTAAAATTACTGCAATCAGTGCCCACATAGAGAGTGCGTAGCCTTAACAAAATCTGTTATCTTTTAAATAAGAAAAGCATTTAGTTTTATTAGAAGCTAGGAACTTTTGCTGAATATTGCTATTGTTATCAAATCTCAATATAGAGAGGGCAACTAGATACTAGATAGTTATTCTTAGTAGCAATCCCACACACTAAATCAAGATTCGCACAGTACCCGTAAACTCATGTTACCCCACCTGGAACTTTATAGTAATAATAATAATAATAATCCTGTTTCTTAGGTACTACGGAGTACTCCGTAGTGCCGTCTTTTGTATGTACTCAGCACTGTTATAAATAGCTATAGACTACTACTACTACTAATACTAAGACCCCCCATAGTTACTTAGTCTTCGCCTGTGAAGTATGTAGCAACTGTACTGTACACCGCCTGTACAAAACATGCATAGGTGCACACTAGGTTTCATTAATAAATGTACCGGTCCGCAAGTTCATGAGAATCGGAGAACGGCGGCTCCAATCCAGAAAACCTCATATTTGCAAGTTGTATGTTATAGAGGCTACTCAGACTAAGTCTAGTAATGCAGACAAAGAACAAAAGCATTTGGTATGTACTTGCGCCGCCGACATCAGATGGATTGTTAAATTGCCCGCGGGCCATCAACAAAGTACCTGACCGAAAAAGAATAGACAAGAATATATCGTAATAAGGTATGTTGACAACAGAAGATTGCAAGGAATGAGGGATCGTTACAGCGAAAAGACTATACAGACACGTCGATATTTACTGCCCCATATCCCATTTAGGACGGAGATTTGTTATCAGATCATCTTTGGTACCCACCGTGTCAGGGGGTAAGCGGCTGACGCGATACGCACCAGTGCGGATATTGTGTAGGTGAGTTGTAGAAATCCCTGTACGGTTGCTGCGAATACTGCCTGCATCGCTTCCAGTATCGGTATTCTTGAAGCGAGGTGGAAGTGCGAAGTCCAAATTGTCGTAAAAGCCCGACTTTCGCAATGCGTGTCTAGGGATTGTTTAGTATCGCCACATGCACATATATAGAAACAGGAAAAACTCACGCGCTGGGGAGAGCGGAAAGCTCATCGAAAGCCGAAACAAGTGGAGAATGGGCCGGCACCGCCGGGCTGAACGGCTGGAGACCACCCAGTGGAGTCTCCGGTCGACCTTCCCTTTGATCCTTGAAATGATTGGCCGGTGCATAATCGATGGCCGACATAATTGACTCATCTTTCAACATATGGGGGGTAGGAAGAATCTGAAGCGGTGATGGCGGGGGCGCTGGCTTGCGGGGCTTCTGAGGGCCAGGCAAACGACCCGAGGCCGAGGAGAATGCACGGGGCCCGGGGGCATTGAATCGATCCTTGAAGCCCCCGTCTGAACCGGTGGCCATATGCCGAGCTGCCCCTTGGAAGCGTGGAGGCGCGCGAGGGGGTGGGGTCATGGCACGACGAGTCACTGGCTCAGCGAAGGGCGCTGGAACAGCATCAAGATTATCTTCGCTCATGGGATCATAGACATAGCCACCCTCGGCGTAGAACTCAGGCCCATAGTCTTGATAATAGGTTTCTCGACCCGTTCTGTTTTCATCAAAATATTCTTTGTAGAAAGACCGAATGCGGTTGGCACGCTGTTCAGGGTTGTCTGATGGATCCTCTGGTGGCAAAGGGCGAAGTCCAAGGGTCATCCGTTGTGTGTCCCGACGGGTATCAAGACCTGCATTTTGAGATCGGGGTGGTTCTTCAGGAAGTATAGCAGGAACAGTGTAGTTCTCAAGTCTCTGTTCATACCCCGTGTCATTGACTGCATTTTGCACGCTGACAGTTGGAACCTCAGGGGTTGATTTTCTCGCATCTCCATAGTCACTAGCTGCATCACTCAAGGGAAGCGAAATTCTGGGGGTGGAAATTGGCGTGGAATGCATGGGAACCATGTCGGAGGGGAGGGGAATAAGGTCATGTAACGGGATCTTGGCATGATGTGGGTGAGGGAACGCAATCGAGCCCACTGCCCCATCTGGACTGCTGTTGCTGGTGTGGGCTAGGCTGGAGTCCTGTGACTGCTCCAAAGGCAATTGTGATAAGCGATTCTTGTGAGCACCAATCTCCATGCTTTCAGGAGAGCCACGGAGTTCAGAACGGTGTCGTTCAACATCGCTTGTTATCGGATTTGGCCCTCCAATAGAAACATTTGGTACGAACACAGGACTTGGGCTTCTAGGCAAATTCAACTGGAGGCCAGTATCTCTGCCAGGATCTGAATCAGTTGGACTCTGCATATTTTGATCGCCAGGCCTATTGTAGAGCGGAGGGGATGAGCGTGACATTCTTTGAGCATTTCGCAGAAGTCCTTGGTTCATCTCATCGCCCAGACCGCCCGGCCTGCTTGACCCTGCAAAGCTTAACGCATCGTCGTGAACCCCCCTCGAGTGAGATCTGAGGGATGCATTGTCGCCCAAAAAGGAAGTTGCATGCCGGTATTTGTCATCATCACCATCGCCGATGGATCTGGACAAGGAATGCAGAGATTCCCTGGAGCTTTGCAGACCAGGTGGAAGAAGATAGGGACTAGGCCCAATATCCAAGGACACCCCTTTAGCATGAGCTGCGTTACGATCAGCTTTCTCAGCTTGTTGCATTGGTCTGGCTCCTGTGGGAGCCAAGTCTAAGCCGAAGTCGAGGGACTTGTGCTTGTCATTCGCGTCCTCATTCCGTAGCTTCTTCACGTTCCGCCGATGCAGATAGAGCAAAACTGCTATAGCACACACAATGGGAATCCTAGGTCCATGTTAGCAACGAAGTGGAGTGTCTAGGTACAACTGTAGGCGTTCCCTTTAATCGTAATAAAGGACGCAGAGGTCTAGAGTACAGGGATGTAGGCCAAGGGCGAGGAAGGAAACAGCTGGACGTACACTGCTCCCAAAACAACAGGCAGAGTGGTCGTAGTAAGAGTGCTAGTGGGCTTTTCACTAGCTGAACTAGACTGACTAGCCGATGATTCAGTAGATGGCAAAGGTTCTCTTCTCACAAGCGTAGGGGCTTCAGGAACAGCTAAAAATGGTAGTCGATGGTGAGGCACAATGCCAGGCCGGCGTGGCACTGAGCGGCTTGACATTTGGGTACCATGGAGGGTCCGATGTTTATGGTGAGTGTGCATATTGTCTTGGCCCCCTAGGGGAATGGCCCAGAGCTCGGTTACTCTGAGAAACCAACAACTTCCAGTATGATCAAGACCGCAGTTGGGACAATCTGAGGTATATGACAGCCCCGAGGTGTTGCGATTTGTAAGTCATGAATAGGTGGATGAAGGCGGTTAATGAGATGTGATTCAACAACAATCACTGACACCAAGATTTCGGGGGCAATGGGGTCAATTCAATGTATGATGAATGATGAAGTGAACGCTTAAGGGCAAATTCTGAGAAAGGAGTGGACGGGAACCACAAGGTCCCTTGGTGAAAGACGGCAGAGGCCTCAAGATACTGAGGGCAGAGGGAAAGAATGACGTGAAGGAAAAGGAGGGAAAAGGGCAAGAAAGCGAGAAAACAAGAAACAAAAAGAAAAGGAGAAACAGGAGAAGAGACCGACACTACTACTAATTGATAGGAGGAGAGAAAAGTGAGCAGGGCGAGGCAGCCTTCAGGGCGTAAGAAAGCAGTAAGTATCTAGTACGGGGTACTTACGGAGTACTAAAAACTAAGCTACTCAGTAGGCAGCGGTCTAGATGGCCCGTCTCATTTCCATTCATTTGTGGTTTAACCAGTTGTGGGGTGAGAAGCAGGTACCCATACATACCCCGTATTGTGTAGATTGGTTACTAGTACATACTACTAGATACCTAGTAGGAACTCTGTACTACCGGGCAGGAGGTAACTTTCCATACTTATTGTAGTATGGACCTACCTAGGTACCTGTAGTAATACGGAGTACTATCAGTGTCTTTACTCCGTGCTTATTCCTGTAACTACGTACCTACTGTAAAGTGTGCCTTAGCCCCGTAGGTACTTAGTAGCCGCGGGTTCCTCGGGCGCCACCCTAACAGTTATCTATACGACGTAGGTACTGTAGTAGGTAAGGCACTCCGTACCTAGGAGTAAGGTCGTACTTTATATCTAAGGTACCTATGTAGACAGTACTCTCATGATGGTCACGTAGCCATACTTATTAGATAGACCAAGGCGCTCTGCGAGCATAAGATTTGCTCTCTGGATATGACATCTACTTCCATGAAGATTATAGTACATTCGGGGGTAAAAGAGGTAGAGAGTATCTGTTGTCTCACAAATGATATGGGCTTGCCTCCCCCGAGTCAGAGGGCAGGTTGTACCGTACGAAGCAGCCATCAGTGAAGTGTGAATATTTTGGACTGGGCATGGAGTACATACAGAGTAGCTCTTATCACTTCTTCCATCACTTCTTAAGAGAAGCCCTAGCTCACAGTACTCCCTACTGAACATATCTATAATCTACATGGGCTTTCGTCTTCTTTTGGATTTCCTCCCGTGTGTCAATTGTTCTTACTGTACGGAGTTTTCGAGTATGCCTTCCACCCTGTATCCAGCAGTAATAATAATATTAGGCAATGCGGCCACCGCGGCCATCACGGCACCACCCCCTGAGTAAAAACCAGGCTTGGTGGGTCAGTACCTGGTAATGTGTGGATACCATACTAGCTCCAGGAACCCGCAAGTGTCTGGCCAATAGTTGCGTCAAAACTCCACGCCTGGGAGATTACGTCCGTCGCTCCCCACCCGTCATGGAATCTAAACTGTTGGTTACTAACTTTCATAGGTACTGGATCAACGTAATAATACACAGTACTGGGTATAGATAGTGCTTTCTAAGTACCTACCTTAGGGAGGTAGGTACCTTCTACAGTAAGGCAGGTACGGAGTACGGAGTATCTAGCAGTTAAGGTATAAATAATAATACATCAGTTTTTCCTCTTGGATGACTGTTCAAGATAGGTACGGGAGTAGGTACTCCGTAGTACGTAGATATATGTCTATGATAAGTAAGGTACGCCGGGAGCACTCCGAAGTAACCAACTTTCATTGACAGACCACTGTAAACCGAATCGATATAAATACAAGGCATCATCATCTAGTCCTTTATGAGCCCTATGGAATAGACGGTTGCCGCATAGAGTACCAATTTCTATAGTTGATCATTCTTACCAATATGCAGTAAGCTATAGTGATTACCATACTAGGTATCATATCATCGTACTTTGTACAATCTGAAGAGCAATGAAAAAGAAGATTTCTTCCCTTTGCCTGCTCAAATCTATGATAGGGATTAACTAGGGGAACAGAAACATCTGGAATGCAACCTTAGTATATAATCGGGCTCTATTGTTATCTTCTATAGAAACAAAGCACCACTTCTGTATGACAGGGATTTTGTTGAGCTTCATATGGGAGCATGATAAATAATCCTGCATCACCTAGCAATTAACCTTCGCGTTTCATCAAAGCTTGTTTTTGCTTTTCTTGACAATGTCAAAATAACTCCAACCCGGATATACATACACCCACGAGAGAGGAAAGGGAAGAAGAGGAGAAACAAAAGACCAATAGAAAATGGTAATAGGGGTTTGAAATCTACACCCGAAAACATGATATATCACGTACAGAGAAAGGAAGCTGGGAATAGGGGGTAATATTGAGGTAGAAGAAGGGGGCTAAGAAAAAGGGAACCAAAATATATCACACAAGGACCGCCCAAGTACTCGACACAAGCCCTGAAATGGAGAAAGACACCAATAGCTCAGTTGTACACTATGGCGCCGATGGTAGTAATGAAGTCTACTCAGACATGACTTCTTGACAGAAAAGAGGTAAAAAAGTGACATAATAAAGCGAAATTGAGAAGAGGTCCAGAAGAGAAGGCTGTCTTGAACGTTCTCTTTCACGTCATCTCATATGCTCGGGGAATCATCAAGTCCTTCAAAAGGTTGCGGTCGGAGAAGAACCAAAGGCATGAAGAGTCGTCAAAAATAAGAAAAAGGGCATGTAGCTTATTCAGTGCTAGCCTCGATACTTGTATCATTATGAGAACACAGGTCGAAGATCCGACTAAATGGCGGATCTGAAAGATGGATGGTCTCTTTGGGTTCTATTGTGACACCTTCAGCTTTGCGGATTACATCTTTCAAAGCACGGGTGACGACGCCTGCACGAACAACTAGGTCATGGAGAGACTGTGTGTCGAAGGGAAGTTTCTTTGGGCGTGGAAGGTGAGGGTCCGTGAAAGTGGAGTCGCCAGAGTCACGTTGCTGATAGATCAGATCCAGAACGGAATTCGGTTTGATAGGGGCTTCCTGGCTGGGGGACGTAGTAGGGCGGGAGCTCGAATGCTCTGAGAGTGATATCCCCCAGGATCCCCCACTTGCTCGTCTCCAAGGATCATTTGTGTTGGAATCACCCTCTGATTCTTCAAAACTGAAAGTCAGGGAAGAAGGGGACCCAGGGGGCGAATGGTTTCGGTCATCGTCATCGAGTGTGGCCAAATTCACTATACCTTCCGCTTCTTTCCAGAGTTCGCTCGAAGGCCCACGAACAATGTTTAAAAAGCTGCCCTGATGCCGAAGACGCCTGAGCTCCTCAACAAGTAAAGTCAGTTCTTGAACTTGTCCAAACTGGCCATGAAGACTTGCTTGGCGTTCCATTATGGCCTGTGGAACTATCATTCCCCGGCACGGAACGCTCTTCTTGCTCGGTTTTATATTCTCGCTGGTTATGTTCTCGTCCGCGTCTTCAAAATCGAAGTCACTTTCCCAATCTTCACTGACACCCTTGCTTCCAAGGCCCCATGTACCGAACTTTCCCGAGGTCTGACGCTGTTCATTGACGGCCGGAGCATCCCTGGTCACGGGGACGCTTTGACTACGAAGGTGCAAAGTACTTGGAGCTTTGCGCCCGGCTGCACGGCTGCCACGGACGTCAAGCGCATGCTTCCCATGAACAGTTCGGGGTCGCCCATCGGGACCAGAGGCTTCACGGTCGTTCTTTGGCTGTTCTGACCAGTCGAAAATATTCATTTTGGGAAATGAATCAAGTGTCTCGTCGGCAAAGCAGTGAGAATCGTGCCCAATTGATTGTCTTGGCTCGTGAGATGATATTGGCTTGTGAAAGAGAAATACTTCATTTCCATGGCCATCACCCTGGTCCTTCGACGACGTTGTCAAAGATCGTGTTTGTGTGGGCAGGCCATCCCCACCAGGCAATTCAGTAGGCAAACTCCGGGAGTTCTTATTCTTTGTCAAGTCAGACGGAAAAGACATGACGCTGTTATTCTTGTAAGTGCCTGAAGCTTCATCAGCAATTGGAATCGACATAGAAATAGAAGTTGCATCCATGTCCGAATCGGAGTTGTATATTCCCGGTGAATGAGAAGCGAGAGACCTACGATGATCAAGAGTTGTGATTTCGGGAGACTTCTCCGTTATAATCGAGGGGAAATCTTCGTTGAAAATTGACTGAAGTCGAGAGGTGTAAGGCCCAGAGTTACTGCTGATCGTGACATGTGTACGGATGGAGTCGAAAGCAGTGTCGCTTAGGAACTCCGTCTCGTCCTCCTCGCCGGAGGTGAAGATATGAGTATCATCAGAGCCTATAACAGTGGAGGCTGGATCGGATGCAGCAATCGAGTGGCGTTTGGGTCGCTGGCGGGATGTGCCTTGGATTCTGGATAGAGGTATTATATCTGAAGTGAATGCATGCGACGCAATGTTTCGGAGATGAGACATTTCTACTTTGTAGTCTTGATCGCAAGAAGCAAAGCCTTTGCGTCGTGGTCCTACCAATTCCGATGCCATTGGATGAGAAACACCTGCTTGAGAGGCGGTTGGAGAGTGACGAAAGATAGTTGGATCAGTAATGTTTCGTCTACTATGTGCCCGAGACGAGGTCAAAAGTGTTCCTGTCGACTTTGTCAGAGTGGGAAATGGCGTTGAGATTGCCCTCCTTTTTGTGTGGAATAAGGAGCCATTGTGGAACTGCTCAACATCCGCGCAGCTTGTGCTCGTTACTGGGCGTCTGGGCTCCGCGTCGTCAGAAGATGAGGTCTGAAAATCATTTTTGTGTGGCGGCAAGGACAACTCTGGTTGTTGCTGGGAAACGACGCTAGGTCCAAACGGGTTTCGAAACTGAACCAATGAGGCAGGAGGAGATTCACCCACGCAACCCTGACCTGCAGGATGCTTGTTTGAGATAGCAGTAGCCAGAAGAAGCGCTGGAGCGGCATCTGGATTAGGCACGATTCTTCGCAACCCTTGATCCTTAGGTTTCGCTGCGGTGGAGAATCTACGAGCTAGTCTCTCCGATACTCCTTCGGGGCTGGCACCTATATATGGGTGCCAAACAACATCATCTCCCAAAGTGGGCATATCGGTTCGTTTTGGTGGAGGAACGAAGGCCATACTAGGCTCAAAGTTCAGACTGTGGGTCGCTTTATGCCCCAAAGCCTCTGGTCTCTGGTAACTGGTGACTGGTCTGCAAATGACCCGGGAGGTATTGGGAGAGGAAGGTGCGTTCTCGAATAGGGACGAAGCGTTGACATTCTGGGAAGGTGGTCGTTTGACTAGCTTGTTGGGCCGGCGTTGGATATGAGGGCCCGTCGGACTATCTGGTCCGTTGGACGAAGGAGAAGCAGGAATTTGGAATGAACTGCGCTTCTCCGGTTGAAAGGATAGCCGTCGCATCCAGGAAGAAGAGGGCCTGCGGACGGGCGAGGCAACTGATGAGTTCCCAAAGACCGATCTTGGCGGGCCAGTCAAAGTTTGCCCACGACGACGCAGTCTTACAGCTGCGAATGACGGCTTCCTATTCGCCTTCACTTCTCCTAGCTGAACCTGAGGTACATCATCTTCACAAACGTGCGGAAAGCTTGCCACAGGAGAGTCCGCTGTCGCTGTTGCAAAGTATCTCGTAGGAGCTGCGTTTATATCTGGCGGGGATATGTTGCTATCTGTCGATGTCGCACATTGATCATGCAGCTGGAGGGTCTTTTTCCGGAATCGGCCTGGCCGAGAGGAGCTTCGATTCACGCGACCGAAGGCGAAGCCAGTCGGTGCGATACCGACGGTGCTAATTGCACAGAGCTGACAAAAAGATAATCAGTAAAGCGCGGGCTTATAATAGTAAACAAAGTCACAAAGTACGACTGTTTTGCTGTCCAAAGCAAGGGGGGAATGGCTTTTGGCAGTGGGAAAGTAAACAATAAAATGCGACCAGCACAGGGAAGACCAGAAGAGGCGATTCAACTCACAGTTGATACATGCTCCATTCTAAAAGGACGGAGAAAGTATCAAGTACCATGAAGCTCAGATTAGCAACATTGATATCACAGGCTTTTGACGAGCCATCTGCATTCTCATGCGCGAGGATTAGGTGGCTTCACACATCTAGATAGACACCATCTAATGAAAACAGTTGGTAAAATAACAGTCTAGGCTGTGGTAGAAGTGGTAAATGATTAGAGCTGTATGAAGTATTGTTTGCGCAGCGAAGCTCAGCGTATGATGATAAGGTGGATGAGGGGAAAGGGTGTTGCAGCCAGCTAGAAAGCTAAAGGAATGGGCCCGGGGAGTGATTAAAAAAGAATGTCAGTGGTCAAGGAATGGGGGGTAACGGAGTAAAAGTAATACTGATGATTAAACTGAATATCCAGCCTTTGCAAATTGTAGAAGCTGACCATTGACTTGGAATAGTCAGCTGGGGCAGAAGAGGAGGAAATAGAAGAAGAAGAAGCAGTAAACAGCAGCAGTAGTAGAGAGGCGAATAAGAGCGGTAATAATAACAGAGAAGCAGTCATCAATCAACAAAAGCCCGGTGGGACGCGCCTTTCCTTCACACGGGCGATGTTCTTCTGGTTCTAGTCTAAACTCAACCACTGGCGAGGAATGGATCACGCTAGGAGTTCCACCCCCAGCACACCACCGCAAGGCAGTCCAATAAATAGTGTTACTGGGTTGTAGGTTTAGGTTAGTAAATTAAAAAACGCAGGAAAAGTGTCTCCAAGATTTAATCATATTTAGGAAGTATATGTAGACAATCTCTCGATATGTACGAAGTAAGTCAGGTCCATTTGGATGGTGGATACCAAGTACAGCATAGGTAAATTCTGTATTCTGAACTTGCCGTGCGGTCCAGTTGCCCCGTACTAGCACCTACCGTAGATAATAGGTAATTACTGGCTGTTACCGACTCAGCAGCCACACCGGTCCTACAATGATTAACTGAACACCAAAGCACCTATATTATTCTAAAGTGGAATAGTATTTATTATAACATATGAGTTTCTGGGTCAGTGTCAGCAGCTTACTGAACCTATGACTGGGGAACTATATATTGTGTAGCCATCTAAGATAGATACTGTAGAGTCTAGCGTACGTAACAACCACCAACACAAACGTCTCCACAACGCCTCGTATCCCTTACTGGGTCAAATATCAGGTATAATGTGGTGCTTCGATGTGATTATATTGAGTTGTGATTCTCTAGATACATGAAGAGGAAGGGGAAGAGGTGTTTGTATGCATTGGGGTGCTGAGAAAGGAAGGAACAACTGGCCCTCTACCGCACCTTTCAAGGCAACAGCTCCCCAGTACCTGTCTGAGATTGATAAATTACTATCCTATATCTAGGTACCTGTATTATTATTCTAGGTATATACCTGTAGGTACTAGTAAAGAACTGTACTGCTACCTGCAAGTACTTGCAGTAATCGAAGTGTCTAAAAATATCAGATAGATACATCTCTGTTAGTGACAAATTATAAGTATTTTATATGGATATCTGTAATAATGGTGTGCTCTATGCGGTCCTTGCACCCCAGCGGCTACAGCTGGGCTAGTATTACTACTAGATACTCTGTACTAACTAGTGTGCACGATCCTACAAGATACTTATCTAATAGATACTGGGTGGGATCTGACTCCCGCGTGAAATCAAATCAAGGATTTAATGGTCCCTAGGCGGAGTATCTTGTTCTTCCTTGACATAATACCTGAGAAAATTCATTCTTCCGAATCTTCTTCCAGCTTTTCCGTGATGCAATAATCTACATATCTGATTTGCTAAGATACTAATATTTCTAGCACCTCCTTAGTTTTGAGACCTAGGTAGGTAGTAAATAGTAGATAGGTACCTAGGGGCTGATTAGATAGTACTGGAGGAGTAGTTAGTAGTATTTAGTTAGTAGTAGTAATGAATAATCACGTCCAACAGAAACCCACAGAATAAGAATAAAGCCCGAATAAATATCATTTTGGGAGGCGATACAGCCACACCCGCCGGGCTACAGCCACACCACGCTCGCTACTGCCAAACTATTTTGAGCCCACCACCTACTAATTTAAGTAAATATAATCACATGAATAATAATTCTGCCCGCCCGCCCGCCTGCGCGTAGTTGACATGCCTGCGCGCGTATTTTATAAATATAGAATAATTAGAAAAACTTTTATAAAATTAAATATTTAAATATTTAGATTACATAATAAAAAAATTAATAACTAGATTTATAGATTTAAATAGATTAAAATTATATAAAAAAATCTTATTATATTAATTAGCTTTAAAACTTAAAAAATTATTTTGAAAAAAAATAAAAGAAATTATTTTTTTTATATACTAAGTTTTTAATATTAAGACTAATATTAATAAAAGAATTAATTAATTTAAAATAAAATTAATAATTAGAAAAAATAAATAATTAGAAAATAATTTTAATAAAATATTTATTTTAATATTTTATTTAAATAATTTTAGAATTATTATAATAATATTAATAAAATTAGAATATAAAATTTATTTTTTAAATATATTAAATATTTTTATTAATTTAGAGCTAGATAAGCTTAATTATATAAAAATATTTTAAGAATTTTAAGAACTGAATTATAAAATAATTAAAAATATAATATTAAAATTAAAAAAGTTTTTATATAGATTTAAATAATTAATTAATAGAGTGGCTAACAGCCAGATCAGATCAGGTTAATTAGAATTTTTATATCTAACCGCCAGATTATAATTAGATTAAGAAAATTTTTATATCTAATTATAATATAATTAAAAATCAGATAATTAATTATTTTAATTATTTTTAATATTAAAATCTATTTACTATATTTTTTTAAGCTTTAGTATAATTAAGATATATCTAGATTAAATAATTATTAATCTAATTACTTTTATTATTATCTAAAAATATATAAAAAAAAGTTTTTTAAATTAAAAAAATATAATTAAAAAAAATTAATATTTTTTTATTATTATTTATTAGAAATAATAAGAAAATTCTAGTTATATTAATAAAATTTAGTTTTTTATAAAATTATTATTTTTATAATAAAAAATATATATAAAAATATATAATTATTATTATATTTTAATTATATATTTTAATTATATTATAAAATACTAAAAAAACTATATATTAATTATTAATTAAAATACTAAAAATAAATATATTATTTTTATTTTATTATTTCTTCTAAGTTAGATTATTTTTAGATTTATAAATTAAATATAGTTTAAAGAGCTATTTATAAAATTAAAAATAAATAAATAATTAAAAAGATTATAAATAATTAAATTATCAAAATATAATAGATTAAATAGATTAAACAGATTAAATAAATTAAATAAATTAAATAAATAAAATAAATAAATAAAATAAATAAAATATATTAGATTTATATTATAATATTATAGCTTTTATAAAAAATTTTTATAAAATTTTTTATAAATTTTTTTTATAAATATTTATTTTTATTTTAATTTATTATATTTTAAATAGCTTTCTTTAAAAAAAGAAATTATTTTATAACTTTAGACTCTAAATATAAATTTCTATTTATTAAATTTATTAAAATAAATAAAATATAGCAAGTATCTTAGCTATATATTAAAATATAATAAATTATATTTATATAAAATTATATCTTAAAATAAAATAAACTATTTTTATAGAGTTTTCTGCTTTTATTTTTTTATATTTATTATTTATAAAATAGTTTTAGAATTATAAATTAATTATAATTATTTAATTTATTTTTAAAAAATATTATTAAATTTTCTTCTTTTATTTCTTAGATTTTTATAAATTATAATAATACTTAAAATAAGATAAATTTTTTAAATCAGATTTTTTCTTCTTCTTTAAATCTTAAGATTATATATATTATAAAAAATCAGAAAATTATTTTATATTTAATTTTTTAAATTTTTTTTTATTTTCTAAGATTAATAATAAAAAATAATCTTTTTTAAAAATTATATATAAATTAAAAAACTATTATTTTATTTTAGTTAAAAAAAATTATTAATAATATAAAATAGCTTTTAAAAAGATATATTATTTTTTAATAAAATCTTTTATATTTATTATATTATATATTTTTATATTTTATAATATTTAAAAATTAAAAACTCAGAAACTAGTTCTATAAACTATTATTTTTATAAAAATTATAAAAAAGAATTATTATTAATTATATTTAAATAAATAATTAATTAAATACTAAATAAAAAGTTATTATAAATATTTATTTATTTTTTTTAAAATAAATCTTTTTTAATTATTATTTTTTTCTAGATCTTTATAATTTATAATAAACGAAATTTTTAGAATTAAGTTTTATATTTTATAATTATTTATTATTTATTATTCTGAATTATTAAATATATTTAATTTAAATAAATAATTAATTTTATTATTTTATTTTTTTACTGAAAATTAAGTTCTTCTAATTAAATATTAATTAAAGAATATTTTATAAAATTATTTAAAAAATATATATATAATTATTATTAAAGTTTTTAAATATTAAATAAATATTAATTATAATAGACTGCTGAATTAGTTTTAATTAAAAAATATTTTTTAATTTAATTAAATATTTTTTAATAAAAAATATAAATTATTATAAAATTTTATTAAATTTTTAATTAATATTTAAATTTTATATTAATAAAAATCTAGCTATAATTATTTTATTAGTCTTATATAAATATAATCTTATTTATTAATTATTAAATATAATAATTAATAATACTAGTAATAATAATATAATATTTAATATAATCTTAGCTAAATTTTAAACTTAACTTAATTAAAATACTTAGCTTTATAATATTTTAATTTATTCTAATTTTTTAAAGATTATTTAAAATTAATATTATATTTTTTATTTATTTATATAATTTAGTTTATAATTAATATTTTTTTACAGAAACTTTAAATTAAGATCTTAAATAATATTATTAAATATATATAAA